TACAATCAGACAACATCACTATCACCCGTCAATAAAGAGGTTCAATCACGAACATTTACCCATTTTAGAGTACCTGTTTAAACTCTAGTCATTCTCACCAGAACCAGCAGTTGTTCTCTGCATCTAACTGAAGATGAAACAGCTAAAGCAATTAGACACATTAGAGTTTAGCTTCATGACGAAGAAGAAAAACAACTGGAGAAGCATTCAATCAGTCGTATAAGTCATATCACCTTGTTGTAATTTGTACTGACACTCAATCAGCTGTAAAAATAGCAATAGTTTGAACCAAAGGGATGAGAGAAATTAGTAGGTTGAAGTAGCAACTACTGAATCGATAAGTACTATGAAACTCATCTCATCAGACTCGGAACACTGTAAGCTGGAAAGCAAAACAAGAGGAAAATATAGTGGATATAGCAAAACGTTAGTAAAACTACCTTTGAAAAACCCAAGAGACTGGAATGATGGGTACGAAGAATAACAGTTTCACTGCTCTCCAGACATCCTTTATTTGCTTCCCCTTTCCAAGCAACCTAAGTGGAAATTCACCATATGACTTGTGATTCTTACTAGGGTAGAAGAAAATGAGGCTTATCTAAAGTGAGGGAGAGCAAAAAGTTTCGATGAAAAGTAACTTGAGAAGTTTTTAAGAATGTTAGTTCAGTTTTTGGCAGTTAGACCATTTATGCCGGCTAAAATTTAAGAACGCAAGATTGTTTGACTGGTCGCCATCTCTGATCATCCCAGTTTTCTTAAAAAAATATAAAATTCTTCCTTCGATAACTAGATAGGAACCAACTTCATCAATATAGTATTCAAAATATTGGCCTCAATATTCATCTGAAGTTCAACTACGCCTTGTAAAGAACAAAGTCTGGGAAAACCGGCTGGTTTCAAACTTGAATTGGAATGTATTGACTAAATATGGCTGAGCCTGAGCTTATGTAGAACTGTAATGGCAACAGATAACTTCAAGTGATGTTCACCAGAGTTGTCAGCCTTGTTCTTTTTTGATTATTTTATCATAGATATCCTTTTGGAGCTAACACACTTTTTTCTAGTAAAAAGGCAAACTACTTTTTGAGTTAGATTACAAGAATGAAATAAACTTGTTCGATGAGGATGCAAGAGTTTTCTATAGAGTTGCTCTGGATCAAACCCTGAAGTAATAATGAGAAACGAAACAGTTGTGTATTTTGATTACTTCCGTTATCCTGAAAGTATCTTCAACACTGCTGGGCTGATGGTTAAGGGAATCTTGGCATGAAATGAGAAAAATCAGTTGGCATTCACACAAACTTGTGTTGCTTGCTTTGTAGGAAAGGTATCCATCTACTATGCACAACTTTAAGTGTGAAACGAGGCCTTTTTAAAATTGAGAACGCGCACTCGCTCTTTATCTTCGCTTAGATTCTGTTTCATAGTCATCTTAAGGTTTTTTGTTATTCCTGAATCACGTATTCCATATAGCATTTTTTCAACTAAGTCTAGTACTGTTACTACTTATACTACTCCATCATCTCTGTATGTTAATGTGTGTTAAGTGGAAGCGATAAACTTATGTGCAGAGTTCGGTATTACATGTAATAAGTAGTCTGAGCTTGTTGTTTACTGAGTGAAAATTGAGTTAAGAATTATCATAAATAATTCCACTTAAACGTTTATTATGTTTCTTGCGCGCGAACGCCAAACCTCTAGACCACTGGGCCGGCATCCAACTCTGATCAATCTAACAATGATTGATGACTTCAGTGTATTTGACGTATGCCAAATTTTAAAGATTAGTTGCAATTAAAAAGCGTGTATGAATGACCTTTTTAATGTTGCCTATAAAATATGCTCACCACTTTGGTGGTCCGCAATTTCATCCCAATATTTACGAACAATTAAATATGCTATGAAATAAATCGTCGCTTCAATTTATGTATATCATGCAAAGGCAAACCTTGTTTGGGCAACGACGGTAATAAGAAGCCAAGTACGGTTTTGCGGATGAATTTATGTCAGACATTCACCTAAGCAGATGGACATGAGAATGAGAAGTCTACAAGCAACGTGAAGAGAAGCGAAGAAGGCAGGTAAGCCTACTCAATAGGATGAAGCATGGCTAAGCATTTATAGTCAGACAAAATAAGCTAGATATGCGATGAGCGAAGTAAGCATGCACACACACACACACACAATCAAATAAAAACAATCAAGATCTTAGTCGAATAGTTGGCAAGATCAAAGGACATGTAAATAACTCTATAAGAATGAATTAATTAATTTTTTGAAAGGCTGGAGCAAACCCTATGGGATCAACATAGTTGTTCACACTACAGACCTTAAAAAGATTGTTTGATTTATAAAAATTTCAAACAAGATAACTTATGTTTAGATTTTCACATTCATGAAAATTAAGTTTCTTACAATTCTTACAATAACTAACCATGAAGTACATATTATTTGGAATGTAAATCATTTTGGATAGTCACACGTTTCATCAGCTCAGTGATAAGAAATGAAGAAGAATAGGATTAACAATAGTCTTTAAGATAATGCTAAAAATGTGAAAAATTGTAAATTCGTTTTGAAGAGAACAAATAGAGTGGATTAATGGAAAACATACGTCAAGACCTACAGGGAAAAAAATAATAAATACATAAACATTGTCGTAATTGATTTTAAGCCATTTTACATAATGTATGTAATAAATGGTCAACATTTTTACAAGCACTATAAGCAGAGAATCTGTGACTTTTGACAGTTACATCGTGGAATGATTCTGTATCTTATTGTGGCCACTGGTGGAGTAATCTAAACGTATTCTTAGCTGTGTTAAGATTGAACATTGATGTACGTGATGTTTGGTCATGAATAACATAAATGCTAAAAGTGAATATATATATATATATATATATATATATATATATATATATATATATATATATATGCAATATTGCTATGTAACCACTAGAAAAATCAAAACCTTACGTAATATTTACATTCAAGTGCAAATTAAATTAATTCGATTTCTAATGCACAGTGATGCTTGCTTGTTACATGTTACATAAAAATCTTTATTTGGGTGCATAACAAAAATGAACATGAGTTTACAGTAGAAAGCTTATAAATGAAATATGTAGTTTTTTAGAATTTTTAATATACTGCTTTTACAATATATTACTAGATACTCAAAGATTAACTTGAATAAAGATTAGAAAATGACTTTATCATAATAAATTTTGTGAAATATTATCATCAGTACTTTACTGAAGTTAAAATAACTGTGTAAATAAAGTTTCTAAAGTATTCCCTTATAGTTTGTTCTTAATTTTAATCAAATAAAACAAAACTAAATTTGTATTTGATCTTTTGCTGAAGAATAAACAATATCCCAATGCCTAGTTGTCCGTAGCAAATAAATTTACTGGATATAATATGTACTACAGACATTCAGATAAGTAACTGAATGTCAGGATTGATTCTCTGATGTTCATCATCTGAGAAAACTTTTTTGAATATCGTTGATCGGGGATCGACACCTGTTAAGATAAAGCATAAAATTCTCCAACTTCTTAAAAAGCGATACACTAAGGGTATAATACACTTTTAAGTAATCACCTTATCTTATTACAAATCACGTAGATAAAATCCTGTCAGAAACGACAAATTACAGTAAATTAAATGGCTATATTTAATCTAGTAAAAAGTCAGTAACATTATTAATGACCTTGTGGTGGTGGCTATTCGATATATTCCAAAACTTCGTGTATTGTTCATCCTGATAACCATTACTCTAAATTGTGAATGCTTGTCACAATTCACTTTTTACATTCAATGCTGAAAATAAAACTTCATTATTGGACACATTTAACTGTTGATAGTGTTATTGAATTTATTAGAAATATAAAAATGGTCGTTACCGTAACCAAATTATTTAAACGATCAATATTAAGGCTAAAAGAACGAAAATGTAAGTTAAGTAATGTTCAGCCATAAATGTGCATGCAAGCTCAACAATAATAAAAGTAGAATGGTATAGATAAGTTGTTGTAGTACAGATGATGCTCAATTAAATAAGTTAATAAAAGAACTTAAACAAATTAAATACAAACAAACTAAATGTGAATGAGGTGCTATAACCCATTATTGAGTGTTTTATAACCACCAACCACCCTTATTTGTAGAGATCTGGACATCCAACAACTATTTGTGTTAATTTCGTTCTACCTATTTCGTTACTAGTCTTGGTATTTGATTGAGTAGCTTTCTCAGATCGTAAGTTCTTCATGAGCTGTACAACACAACCTTCTTTTTCTTGAATGAATAAACCCTACAGTAAATTTCTCGGTTACAAAATTTAAAACAGTGTCAGTGAACATCTTTAGTCAGTAAACACTCATTCATAAATATACACTACCCTCTGATTGGCTGAATATCAGTTTCATTTTCTTAAAATGAATAGATTTTCTTTTAAGTCATATGTGAGTAGAAAATGTAAAAATTTACTTTCGAAAAGTGAGATACATGAACCTCAGTTCTTTTCTTAAGATTAACTACAAGGTTTAATTGTTAGTCATGAACAAATATGGATCATGGCTCTCACCTACTATCGCAAATATATCTGTAAATTAGGATCCTTAAAGTTGAATTTCTACACACTCATTCATCAGTATTCTTATATTTTAACAACAGTTTATTTAGTCCGATAACGAAACTAAAACCTTTTCTAGGACTTTCAAAAGGCCCTAAATTAAATCGATTAGCGTTGCCTCAAAAAATGTCTTTGGATTCGATATCACAATTCTATACGACCTAGTATAATACTTTAACATATCACTGCCCCGCAAGAAACGTCTAGGAACAGAAACATCACTGGACGACCTAGTCTACATAAGGTACATCAAATAAAGTCACCATCTTTTTTCTTAAACTGTACTAACGAAACCATAACACCTTTTAGCAAATAGTAGTGATTTCTGTAAACGTTGTTAACATATACCGAAATCTGACTCGAATACTTTATTTCTACTAAGTATATATATCGTTTATTATTGTTACATCAGAGACACTTCATGTTATTATGTTAAACTTATAAGAATATTCAATCAATAGTTGAGCCGTAATTTTGATGTTGATTAGAAAATCACCCTGAAAAAGTTCAGACAAGAATGCTGGACAAAATGTTGAAATGATTTACAATTTCAATCGATGAAATTATTTCTCATAAATAACATTATGTTTATTGTTTATTGGTTTTGTGTAAAACAAACACCATTATTTTTTTGATGATGATTAATATAATTATATTATTATTATTAATAATTGTTATTATTATTATTATTATTGTCATTCTTCTTTTTCTTCTTCACTAGTATTAGATTGTTGTTTAAGTTTTCAATAGGTTCGACCACTTTTTCCACTTTTGCCATTGTAACTTTTACTACCACCTCCATTTGGTGTAATACTTGATTTTTCATTGAACGTTAAAGAACCTTTCAAATTGCCAACAACTTCGAATTTCGCTCTCATTTGTTTATTACCATATTTTTTCACATGTCCCAATGTATCGTAATCTAAAAATTGTCGTTTTTTCCCAAAAATATCATAACCGCCACCTTTACGGAATTTAGTCAACGATAAATAATGTACACCATAATCTTGATGACCAATACCAGTCATTCTACCATTCACATCTAAACGACCATGACTATGCTTAGAACCAGACATAACTCCAGTGCTAATTGAAGCGATCCCATAATCATTGGATGGTGTGATAGTACTTGGTGTATAATCTTCATTGTAATTATTTACTTGATATTTATTCTTTGTTGATGTATAATCGTTAGTGTTATGTTCACCATCATTATAATTAATATTGTAATTATCACCATTGTTCTTGTTATGCAAATCAGAAGATGTTGGATAATAACTGGAAGTACCATAATTATTATTATTATTATTATCATTGGTATTACGGTAGTTATTGTAGATATTCGGATCATAATTACCATTTATGGATCCATAAATTTTATCCCCGCCATTATATCCATTGTATTGATTAGAGCGTTGACTGAAATATGCATTTACATGTCTACAGAAAATAACCGATAGAAAATTACATAATATGAAATATAATAGCAACAATAATGACGATTTATTCATTGTTGCACAGAAATGATGAAATAGTTTGGTTCCTTTTTTTGAAAAACAAAAACACTAAGATTTTAATATTTTTTCGAATTCTTTTTATAGTTAATTGAATCAACTGCATAGAATAGTTTTGTTCATTATTTATCAATTTTTTTTTAAAATCTAATTTATGCATTTTGAATAAGTTCATTATACTTTTTTCAGATAAATTCCGCTTATATGATAAAAATTTAATTGTTGCAAAATGGTCTTATTTAATGACGCATATACATTAATTGCACTTATATTGAAAATGTATTGATAATTGTAAACTGAATGAATTATTTACTGGATGGGAGCATAAATTAATTGTAGATTGTTATAAGAATATCAGTTACTTAAATGTCGACTGAAATTTTCTGGGATAAGTGAATGGGAATAAAAATAAATAAACATTGTGTGGTGTTAGGCCTGACAAATCAGACAATCTAAATAGATAGATAGATAGATAGATAGATAGATAGATAGATAGATAGATAGATAGATAGATAGATAGATAGATAGATAGATAGATAGATAGATAGATAGATAGAGGTGATAATTTCAGGAAATTAGCTATATTTGAAAACGATATGTGGCCCAGAACCTCCTGACATGTTGAAGTGATTGCCTCCTTGATCCCTTTCAAATTGTTCTCCAAGGTAGTTTCCTTTCCACTGAGCAGATCGTGTAAGGCCTGCAGCCTAGTGCTGAGAGCTATTTTGAATTCGCTAAGTTTCACGGTTTCCTGAAGAAAGTCCGTATTAAACTTGTGTGATGTTGTCTTCCCCGTTGTCCAGTGCTTCTTTAGTTACAGTCTAATTTCGGCCACCAGCAAGTGGTGATCTGAGGCTACATCAGCTCCTCTCTCGATTCTCACATCCACCATGGTCCTTCTGAACTTTTTATTGACACAGATATGGTCGATTTGGTTCTGAGTAGAGTGATCCGGTGAAATCCATGTGGCTTTGTGTATGCGTTTGTACGGGAATATTGTGCCACCGATGACCAGTTTGTTGAAGGCACATAGGTTTGCAAATCTCTCACCGTTTTCGTTCCTTTCTCACAGTCCATGTCGTCCCATGATGTCTTCATATACAGTGTTGTCCATGCCAACCTCGGCATTCAGGTCTCTCATTAGAATCGTTAGATCCTTTGGTGAACATTTCTTGACTGCAGCCTTTCGTAGAATTGTTCTTTAACGTCGTCATTGTAATCGTTGGTACGTGCATAGCATTGGATGACGTTCATTGTAATGTCCTCTTCATTTGTTTTGAAGGATGCTTTACTGATCCTGAGTCCATGAGATTCCCATCCTATCAGTGGCTTTTGTTCTTGTTTGGACAGCATCAGTGCAACTCCTTGTATGTGTGAGTCATTTCGCTCTTCATGACCATATTATAACAGTAGTTCCTCTGAAGCTAATCTCAGTTGTCCTACCTGTGTCCAATGTGTTTCACTGATTCCAAGCACCTCGAGGTTGTATCTTTTCATTTCTGCCGCAACTTGAAATAGTCTTCCAGTCTCCCACAATGTACGAACGTTCCATGTACCTAAAAAAATGGTTGCTCTGGTTGTCAGAAGAGGGGTCGGTCTCGTGACTTCTGAAAGGAACTTGGCTTTCATCATGAGACGTCATAATTCTTCTTCGGACTGCCAGGGCAGAGTTAAAATGGTTTGAACCAAGTCTTTTCGTTGGGGTTTCTTAGAGAATTATTTTTTCATAGAATGGGGTCACCAACCCCAATTCTCCTCCTTTATCCAGGCTTGGGACTGACCGTAACCTCAGAGGGGCTTCAGGTAGAGTTTGATGAAAATACTACAATATTCAAATTGTATTTACTGTCAAGATAATGGAAACGTCTACTACATCTCTCTCTTATAGACGCTATTCATCGACAGTCGGTTTTTATCACATTTTTATGTCTCTGATTGGTCATATTATTACCGAATTTTAGTCTACTGTGAATGTAAAATTTATTTCGCCTGTTCGCTAATTTTTATCCTCATTTCAAGATTATCTTCTTCCGTTAAGTTTAAGCGTTTAACAGCTGCCAGACGATATTAGCCTTTCTGAAGCCAATCAATAACCAATAACGAAATGTTACCTAGTTTGATAATTCATAGAGTTTTAGTTATTTTTGATCAATCCTAAACTTTTCACAAGCATGCATCAACATTTAAATGAATAATTTGACAGAAACTTAGCACCGACTATTTCAAACATAATTTTCATGAACAATGTACTCCTAAACTATTTATTCGCACAAATTACTATCACATGTTTACGACTACTAATAAGTAGTTTAAAAATATGGCGCGAATAAGATGATTTGCCAGTAAGGTTGTTAGCTTATGTTGACGATGGCATTAGCGTCACGACAATGTTCACTTAGACTTATATTTTATTCAGTAATATTGTATATTTTAATATGCATTATTTGCGAGACCTTTTTATTCATAACATAGTATTTAGATCATAATGATTATTAATGAGTTATTTACACAAAATTAGCATTCATACTTCTTAATTTCAAACTAAAGAGACTCTGAATTAACCAAACTTGGATAAACAGACGTATAAAATTGTTATTAATGAATTTTTTCCACTCTAAAAAAAATCAGCCTTTTAATGGATATTCATCATTTCAAATCTTCATAATTCTCTAAAGTATAAATATCATCATCACTTTCCTCAACGCTAATGATAATGGAAAAAAATGAGTAGAAAAAAAAAATGATCACATTTGGGCTAACAGGTAAACTAACCGTTAACTTGTCATCTGTAATGATTAGCGACATCAGTCTACCGTTCATGGTAATTTGTTTTTTGGCATTTCAAGGAACCAATTCATATAGAGTTACTATATGAAATGCATTCTATGCTAATACATTGTTGCAGATGATTTATTCAAATACTTCGAAAAGATTAATATTTTTTGAAACTTGAGTTGTGCAGCGTTTTTTTATCATCAGCTAAGATTTCATTTGTCTTGAATTCTGCCAAATAACTATAACTCTAACCCTAGCTCTCACAAACACATGTATACCATAGAAGTTAATTGGGGTGGTCTCAAATATCAATAACATCATTACAAATATTCTCGTAAAAGAATATTTTTTATCCATTTGGACAAATTTCTGAATAAGGAAACCTTTTAATTTTACACCCCAGTGAAACAATTCCCAAAATTAAAGATATCTTTTATCACGTTGAAACTGTACACCCATTAGTAACTTTATAATTTTTGTATGATAACTTGTGCTTGAACTCAGTAGTTCCCTGACTGTTTAAATTGCCATTTAAAAGCTTATGCTCCAGCCTAAATTTGTAGTAGCAAAAGTATTTTAAAAAAACCTTGTTAGTTATTTTACAGGTTTAAAATATCCTTATTGATCAATTACATTCATTTTTAATGAAACTATTTTACAATTTACCAACAGTCATAAACTAAGAGTAACCTAAAGAATCAGCACTTCACTTATTCTGCTGTTAGTTTAATCAAAGAATTAAAATTATTTACATCCTAGAAGATTATTCATTCATTTTAAAAAAATGTATGCTTATTAGGAATAATTGTATTCTTTATGCGAACTAGCAACACTCAGAAATGTCCAATTCCTTCTCTAATAGTCAGTCACATATGGACCAGCACTAAATTCAGGAAGAATTCTGTGAGTACAAACGAAAGTATTGTATTTCGATTTAGAATTAAGCGCAGAATTATTGTGTACAAATGAATCATCGTGGTATCCAACTCTCACACACATAAGCTTCAGTAATTATCAAATGTGACATCACAATGTTTAGAAATGCAATAAAAGTTTCACTATATAGAACAATGTAGTTTTTAATAATCAAATAAACTTTTATCTGTTGGATTGTTTTTTGCATTCAAATCAAATATTTGAAGTTTGGTTTTTCCAAACCTTAGTGAAATCTGTGTAACAATTCTTATTACACACCTATGTAGACCTGCCTGCCCTATATAATGAACAAATATATAATCAGACAGATTGCTCGTTTAAATTTTATTGATTGTTTTGTACACCTCTATAGATAAGTCATTTAAAATTCCATTAATCACATTGCACGTTTTCGTGTGTGTTCTATGTCTAAATAGGTGTCTGTATTTACTTATCTGATATGCTTTACATATAAACCACATACATTCTCACTGCTAGTTTTTCCTCTTATACAAATGACTGAGATAAATGTATCAACATTATGTACCAATCAAATCCAGGATATATGAATACATCTGGAGTCAATAAATTGTGGAGTCAGATGGGCATGATAATAATATCTTGTTTAATTATTGAAATATCTTATTTGATAAATGTAAACAACCTTTGATATACAATACATTAGCTGATATAGTGGGACATTCGGGACTGGCTTAGTTAAAAGGCTATTTGATGAACATGAGACAAAATACATATCATTAGTCATTAAATGTATAAAGATGAGTATTTGTACAAATTATTCAGTAGCCGAATAGAATTTCGTTCCTTCTTTTGCATTTTCGCTCAAGTAGCCAGTTTGGGGAGCGGAGTAAGCTCTTATCACCTTCAGATCTGGGACGACACACATCATACCAATATTGTCCAGTAATTAGTATGATAGAAAACTAAAATTCCCCTTTCAAAAGAATGATAAGAAACTTGACACAAATCGCTTATTGTGTTAAGTCTACCTTAGCAATAATTATTTCTAACTTGTAAAAGATTTACAATTCAACTCTATCCTAGCACACTAAAATTCACGCATACAGTTGCATATAAATATGCATGTTTATTTCAATACACAACCAAATTAATTTCGCCATCTTAAAAGACTGACAGTAACATGTTTTGTTATCATAGAGAGTTTGTGTAGACTGCTGAATTTTCATAGCCTACATTATGGACTGATATTAATTAGTTAAACAACCATTGAAAACTAGAAAGTATTGGACAACTACTCGGTCATGATATAGGTTTCCTGAGAAGTGTTTATCAAATATCTTTGGTAAATTACTGATACACTCGCAACTTGATAAACTCCACCCTTGAAACTGATGGTCGATAAGACTTCAGGAGATTCATCTACCAAACAATCAGTATTTAATGGCCCACGATGACTCCGATATTTACGAAGGATAGAGTGTGCAGCAAAATAAACCTT